ACGCGGACCGGCGCGGCGGCGTGCGAGACCGGCGGCCGCCCGAGTGCTGGGACGCGGGCGACGGCTCCTCCTCGGGCTGCCGGGGCCGCCGGCGCCGGTCCCGCGGCGGCGTCGCCGCCGGGGACCGGTCCCGCGACCGCGGCTCGCGCCGGTCGCGCGACCGGTCGTCGTCGTCCTCCGGCGCGGCGCCGAAGACCGCGCGCTTCCGCAGGCGCCGGTCCCGCGCCTCGATGAGGTCCGCGGCGTCGCCGGCCTCGAGGCCCAGCATCTCGCGCTCCTTGATGAGCTCCGCGTTCGCCTGGCGCGCCGCGGCGGCGCGCGACCGGTTCTGGTCCACCATCTGCGCTTCGAGAAACTCCTTCTGCTGCTGCTTCTTCCGCTGCGCCGCGGCGCGGTCCGCCTCGCTCATGCGCAGGAAACTCATGGCCGCGTGGTTCTCAGCGCGCCGGTCGCATCCAGGGCGCGCGCGCGCCGGAACCGACGTCCAACGATGGGCGGGGGCAGCCCTCGAGCCGCGGTTTGCGGCTTTGGAAGTTCAATGGAGTTCAGGTTGACCTAGTTATTGAAGGGGGAGCGCACCCGAAGATCCGCCGGGGAAGGCTCGGGCGGAGGCCTAGCCGGGGATCTGGCGAACCACACCGGCCCCCTCCTCCACCCTGAAGATCGTGCGCGCACTCGGGACGGAGGCGGCGGTACACTCGCGCCACGCCTGGTACCGCCGCCACGCCGAGAGCACGCCGGGACTGGCGCAAGGCAGTAGCATCCTGAGTCGCCTCATTCAGACGACACTCTCACCGGACTCTCCGAGGACCGGGGGAGGTTGAGACCGCGGGCACTCGCACGCAACGAGCAGGACGTCCGGCTCGACTAGGCCGATTCAACCTCGGGGACCACGAATGGAGGCCGAGGGCACCGCCGAAGAGGACACCCGTAGTCAGCGGGACCGAAGAGAGCAAAGACGTCGACGTCGACGGAACCGCACAAAGCGCCACGCTACGAGGAGACGCTGCAGAATCCAGAGAAACGAATGGACACGGGCACATCGAAGCCCGCACACCGAAGCCGCCGAGGGCGCCGACCCCACCAGCTCCCTCCGAGGCTCACGCCGAAGGCATCCGAACGACGCGAGCGCGCGCGGCAGCCCCCCGGGCCCGTGGGCGACGTCGCGCCGACGGCCAAGCACTGCAAGCTCCCGCGCTCGGCGCCCCGCCGCCCAATCGACGCGCGCAGCGGGGTGCTCCTCCCCGAGCGCCCCCCGGAGCCGACGCGGCGAGCCCCACCACCGGCCGCTGCGCGAAACCACCTCCGCGCACCCTCCGAAGGCCGCCCCATAAGCTTCGGCGCTATCGTGTTGCATGTTGTTGGTGTTAGGTTGCAGGCCAAGCTGCCACAGCAAATCGCGCGCCAACCCAAGCCGGCCACCTCGTCGTCGCGCAGCCCGCAACGACCGTCAAAACCGCCCCGACTCGTCGCGCGCGCCCGCCGGCCGCCTCGCAGCCGGCCCGACTCGTTCGGTCAAGCCGCCGGCCGCCTCACACCAGCAGAGACGCGCCGACAAAGCAAACGATGAGGCTCGTCTCCGCCCTCTGCGTCCTCGCGGCCGCCGAGGCCTTCGTCGCGCCGACGCCGCGCCGAAACCCGTACGCGACGCTCGCGGCGACGTCGCAGCAGGCCGACGCCGGCAAGGGCGAGAAGGCCGCGAAGCTCCCGACGATCGTCGACGCCGGCCACCCCATGTTCGGCAAGAAGCTGAGGGTGCGCGGCGCGAAGATGTCGCGGTCCGGCGCGGACCGCTTCAGCAACCTGCGCTGCTTCGCGGAGCCCGGCGACCCCTACGCGTCGCCGCTCAACTACCTCCTCGCGCACGGCGACGAGGTCACGTGCCTCGACTTCAAGGACTTCGCGGGCCAGACCTGGGTCATGCACGAGGTCGACGAGCGGCTCCGGGGGCTCACGAAGGACGGCGCGCCGCCCGCGGCGGGCACGTACCTCGCCTGGTCCTACATGGACTTCCAGGGCGCGCGGTGGCTCGTCCCCGAGGGCGACGACGATGAATAAGAGGACGTTATGCGACAGGTGGGGGGGAGAAGCGGGGCGGGCCGAGAGCTCAGGAGGAGACCGCCGTCCACTCGGCGTCGTCGCAGGCGCACTCCGCGCCGACGTCGACGAAGCTGTCGTCGTCGTCGCCGCCGTCGTCCGAGGCGAGGGAGGAGGAGGAGCAGGAGCACACGGAGTCGGTCGGTGATGCCGCCGCCTCG